ACCAGTTACACGCACAAGTTCAGTGATAATAGGCCATTTTCGAGCTTTTCGAGCTCTTTGTCAAAACGACTCTTCGTGTGAAACCATTCATATGAAAATGTGTTCCCCCTACAGGTTCATTTTCATGCAAATCAAACTCGTTTTCATATGAAACAGAGGGAAAAGGGAATCTCGGAAATGGCCTATTATAGCAGCCTTCGTCACACAACACTTCTGTACTTGTGACTAAAGGCGTTGCGTGACGACGTGACACCAGCTGCACGCGATCAATGTTCAACAGATAGTGCCAGGTTACTAAACTACACATACCTTGTTCTCCTTGAAGAGAAACCTTTAAATAACTTCGTTTGAATGCATTGATACCAGCCAGGCATTCTTTAGTCGAGCGAACCATTCCAGCTTCAACACCAAGTCGCAAGTTATTGATATAAGTTGAAAAAGTCTCGGCAAACAACTTCATTTTGTTTAGAAACAACTGCAAATCATCCAGATCTTTAGGGCGGATATTTTCCAGGCCGTTTGCAATATCGGACGACCCAACGTCACAAATCTGCTGGCAGCAAAACAGATTTGGTTCCACGGGAAAATCGCCGACATAGTAATCGGCATCGTAAGGTTTTCCCGCAATTGTTTTGAAGGAAATGCTTCACTTGCGCAATGGCTTTTTTCTCGCGCGGTTTCAAGCGCCGGGTATTGACACCCAAACCATCCAGCTCGTCAAGTAGATTTCGCGCGGAGTCCGTGACTCGCTCCAAACTTTTAGGATCCGGGTTGCACGGTTTGAATTTTGCCATCAGCACTGACGGTTCCACGCCACCAGGTTTGTTAACCAAGTCTTGTGGATGAAGATCAAAGTAGGTATCTTGAACTTTCTGCAGAAATATGTCGACACCCGCTCGCTTCGCTTCCTCTGAATAACTGCAGCGATCGGTTTTCGCACCACCGCTTTGACCGGCAACGACTGCTTCGCATTCTTCACGTTTGGCTTTTGTTATGAGGACGATATCAACAATAAGAATCAACCCAATCAGGGTGATAACTCCGGCAACCAGCATAAGCACATCCCGCTTTCTCTGCAGCACCATGTTATCGGACAACTAACGCTACGTGTGGCTTACCGTGTTTGTTTGTTCAATGTTTTAACACATGGTGTAAGTGTTAACTTTGGTGTTTTATTGGTTTTATTCTAATTTTGATCCTAAACATGCTAAATACTTTTGTTGTCCAAGAGCTTTCTCAAAGAAGGGAGTTATTGAACTCAAGAACCTCAGATCGACAGAGTAAGTTGTTCACGATTTCATATAAGCCGGGAACGATGATTATAATTGTAAATTCTGACGCTTTAGGGACACATTCATGCTGAGCGGCGAACTCCACATCTCTACCCGCTAATCCGCACATTCTGCGGGCGCACTAAAGTGCAAGGCACCATGCAAAAATACTGGAATAGACTGGACTGTGAAACTAGGGATTCTGGAACATTTGGAACTAAAATCAAACAAAGTTCTTTCCTGCAGTTTTGACATCTTCTGCTTTTCTCAATTTTCCTTTATAAAATAAAAATATACCTCTTTAGTTTCAAAAATCGAGAGAAGAATTTGCCCTACGGTCTGTTTAACAACAGGCTACGATAAATTATCGACGGGTTGGGTTCAATTAAATCAACTATATCAGAGTTGTTCACACACCCCCAGATCGTCAAAGGACAGAAGAACATATCTGGTAGCCTCAACGGCACTGTGAAAAGCCTGCTTATGCTTCGCTCTCGCTAATGGTAACGTAACATAATCTCTCATACCCCTTGCGTTTGATAGCTAGTTTCCCGCCGCGACATCGCAGAGTTCTCGTCAAATGACTGTGAAATGATAGATGTTCATCTGATTTTATCATTGGCTATTTTCTAGCTAGACTGAAACTTATTACATCAACTGAACAATTCCCTGCATCGACCAAGACCTCTCGTAATATAATAATTTTAGTTTAAAATATCTATGCTGTCGCACGGGGGCGCAATGTTCACAGTAATGTACAACTGGGTCGCTGATTTACAGCTTTTAACTCCCGGGGTAATATTATTACAAAATATTACCAACAAGAACACAGAAACAAAAAAGTTACAATAAATAGAAAGTAAATGTGCGCAGTGACCAAAGTAGCTCATAAATTACTTGTTGGATGACTGATGATTATATATAAAAAACAATGGGACGTGTAAGAGGTAATTAATAGGCTGATCAGACACATCATTCCTTAGAAACAGCTTGAGAATCTAGGAGGTACAGTTTTATTGCTTGCCACGTAAAGAGATACGGATGCTCGTCGGAAAATTTGAATTAAACCCCTAAGAGAAACCAACCTGGGTGTGGTTCGAGCATTACATATATTTGACTCCTACAAGATACCACTTGTCGAGCGGTAAAAGAAAAAGTGACCTTCACATCCAGTGACGCGGACGGTAGGATAATCTTAATCAACCTCACTTACAACGGTCTAAAATTGTCATTTTGTAATAAATACACGCCCAACGACCACACACAACAAGTAAGTTTCATTCAAGAACTAAATTGTCTCTTAATTGACAAATCGGAAATTACAACTCTTATAGTAGGAGGTGATTGGAATTGTATGCTATCTAAAAAAGACAAAAAAGGTGGTTCTCCTTGGAGGCCAACAGCATATAGGAATTTGGTAAATATCACCATGGATACCCTTGACCTTGTCAACATACAAAGAACTCGTTATCTGAATGTTAACAAGTTCTCTTACAGGTCTAAAACGTTAGGCGTGAAATCAAGAATAGACTTCTTTTTAATATCCAAGCACTTGACAAAATTTGTTAAAAAAGTGGACATCCAAACCTCAATAG